GGATTGATAGCATGAATCAGTGTCCAACTTTATCTTTTTCCGAAGCGTTGGCTTCAATGTTGGCATCAAACCGCTTGCACGTCCAAACTTGCCCTGGTATATTCTTGCAAGATTAAGCTTGCAGTCCTGCAATTGGCTGATTTGTTCTAGCTGGTGCAATGCAATGTGTGTTTGTGATGCGTGCTTGCACCGAATATGCCAGCCATGAAAAGACACAAAGTGCCGTTGTTCATCAAGCATCCAACATGCTTGCTCTTGATGTTTTGTTGCGTAAGATTCGCAAAAATCTCACAACGCAAAGAATCCGCCTCAAAGTTCCGCAGAGATATGTCCTCAATCTGCTGCAAACCCTAGGAAAAATACAAATGGTACCCCCCCGGTACCTACCTTTTACAGTGTTTTGTGCTGATTTTGTGTTTGCTGGCCACTGTAGCGTCTTGTGATTGATTTTAATACTGTTGAAATTCCCCTCATCCCCATGGACCCCGTAGCGTGTACTCTCAAGGTAGAGTGAAAAGGGACGCTTAACGGCTAGTCAGGGTTAGCTAGAGAAGTAGAGCTGATCCTGTAAAATACAGGTTATCAGCCGTAGGCTAGCTAGGATAGAGCTATGGACCCGATGGATGACGACATCGCACCGAACTCCTACGGAAGTGGCTTTGACATAGTTCCGAGTTTACCAAATAGCTTGGATGCAGCCCAACGACATGAGCAGGCAGTTGCTCAGGTGGCAGCAATGGATCCAAGGGTAGCTTCGGAGGTGTACCAACAGATGCTAAATAGTGGTGGTAGTGTTACTCTTCAAGAGGCGACACAAGCTACCCTAGCAGGTATGCCGTCAGCCGCCGTAACGGGTGCGCCAACAGTAAACAACTTGTTGGCAATGACACGGTTCAACGTCCTCAACCTGAACACGACATCAGGTGATGAAGAACTACGACGGGAACTACAACAACACGAGTTTTTACTCAGTGAGCAAGCCAGGAGGGAAGCAGAACTCGAAGCGTTGCGTTTTAGGCAAATATATGAAAGAGAAGCTTCCGAATCCATAGCAGCAACAAAAGTCGCAGCAGAGCAAGCTATGATGAATGTTCAACAGAGGGCCCAATAGCAGGAACAAAATGTTCAGCAATTGGTCCAACAGCACGACAACGTTGCGATCAAACGATTGCAAGGTACGTTGGAGGAGCAACGAGAGCATTTTCAACAACGGCTAGCTCAGGCGACAATGGCTCATGAGAAGGTTGTACAAGAGAAGAATGCCTTAGTAGAGGAAGGTAATGAATTTGTCGACAAACTAAGAACTGAACACCGTCAGTATACCGAGCAGCAAGAGTCTAGACTAAAGGCCGCAGTAGAGGCGACGGAACAAGCCAGATCTTCGTCCGCCGAAGAAGCCCGCGTTGCTATAGATCTCGACTTCAACCGTGACCAGTTCGTTGGCAATTGCACAGGCCAAGATTAAAACACTTATTGGTGAGATGGAATCAACAAAGTCACAACATGCAGTTGCCCGGGAAACGCAAGAGCAAACTATAGTTGAGCTGCGCAAGGGCAACGCTATGTTGAAGGGGGAAATGGATGAACTCAGACGTGTTGTACAGGCCTTATCGGATAGGGACGAGGAGCGCAAGGAGGCCGAACGCAAGTCTCAAGCCGCAAGCCCCGTTAAACCAGGGCCGCAACACCAAGAACCACCTCCACCTCCTGCTCAACCAGATGTTCTTCCCGTTGGTCAACCTCGTTCGTATGAACCTCTTCGTACGGAGGGCACAGTTCCAGCAACCTTAGATGGTAAGCCCCAAGATGCAGGAGGGATTCCTGTAAAGACGGCTATGGATGCAACAGCAACAAGTCGCAATACAGGATTTCCTTCAATGTTCTCTGGAACAGGGGCGCCCGCAGCGGAACAGGCTACAGCCTCCACGGAGAAGCAACAGTTCAAACAACCAGATCCTTGGACGGATTACATGAAGAAGTCGGCGCAGTACAACTTCAGCGATGACCCTTTGTACAAAAGCTCCTTTAATCAGGATGCAACACAGCGCAAAGACTATCGCAAAGATGAAGGGCCGGCATCTCAGGTAAAAACTCCACAAGAACAAGATTTGGGGGAAATCATCAAAAGGGCCTTGCTAGAGGGGTTTAAGGGTGCTAAAGGCAAAGACTCTGACAAGCCCAAGGCAAAAGAGGCAGATAAGATTGACCTTCCCGAATTCCCAAGTCCTGACAGGTACCGTACTTGGAGGGCCGCTGTTCGCGAAGCGATGCGGTTCGCGTCCGACGACCCAGATGCCGCATTTGCGTGGGTGCTTGACGCTGTTCAGGAGGACAAAGCAAAGCTTTGTTCCGAGCTGGCTGACCCAGGCAAGTTCCGGACCTTAGACACGAAACTCCTTGCTGCTTTGACTAAGGTTGCCAAAGGCGAACTGTCTCAGCAGATCCTTAATTACAAGGAATCTGAGGCACAGCAGGGTAGGATTGTTCGTGGTCGTCAGGTTTTGCTCATGTTTGAAGTCCATTTCAAAACTAGCGAAGAAGCGGGTGCGTTGTATGGCACGGAAGACCTCCTGAAGATCTCGCTTGACAGCGATGACTTGAAATCCTTTCTTAGGAAATGGGAGAGTGTGTTGACCGGAATGAGTCATGTTCCTGACCCGGCAACCCTCAAGGATTTGTTCTATAGAGAGGTCAGGAAGTCCCGTAAACTCAGATTTGATCTTGATGTTTATGAACGCGCAGTGGAAGGAAGCAACGACAGAAGCTATGAGTTTCTCATTAATTCTGTCAGACGGTATCTTGACCGGGAAAGGCTAAGGACCTACCGAGAGAAAATATCTCAATCGCATGCAGCCAAGTATGCAAACCCGGCACCACATGACTGACAAGCGCACGCGAAGCCCAAGTTATGGCAAACGAAGTACAAAGGGTGACGGCAGCAATCAATGCTATGAGTTCGTCAAAACTGGCAAGTGTAAATACGGAAGCAAATGTAAGTACTCACACGACTCTAGCGCCCGTCCCCGCTCCCTTAGCCGGGAGTCGTCTCGTTCGCATAGTGCAAGTTCAAGTGGTCGTTCGTCTTTTAGGTCAAGCCGATCCAGAAGTTCATCAAGGCCGTCTTCCCGCAGCAGTTCTAGGAACTCATCAAGAAGCTCGAGTAGAGGCAGAAAATCTGAAAAGCCATGCAGGTTCTTCGCAAAGGGCAACTGCAAAAGGGGTGACAAATGCCCGTTTAAACACAATGACACGGCCACGCCCGCTCCACGCAGAAGAAGTCCCTCTCCCGCAGCTAGAAAGTCCAAGGACGAGAAATCCAAGAAGGACAAAAAG